TTGTCAGTAAGTCCATACAATGAAATAATCAAAAATAAAAATAGGTTACCTGTGGAGATGCATGTTGGACAGCAGTTTATCTAATTAGTACCACAGAGAACAGTTGTCGGAATCCCCCCTACCCCTGTATCCCTCTTGAGTAGCCTTTTGTGTCGACGTCCTAAGCATCAGGTTGAGCAGCGTGTCTGAAGGTGTGCAATCCAGCCCACCCCTGTGCCCCAAGTCTATGCTAAGCCTGCCATCCCTTGCACTTTGTTTACCCTCACATGCAACGAGCCTTACTTCCGGTTTGATCTGGCTGATCAAGAGGCAGTTTAAGGACAGCCCCCAAGGTCCTCAAGAATTATTTAACATCGCAGACAGGACGACGATCACAGCCAGGGTTCAATTCGGAACCCGCCAGAAATATATATAGACGGTTTGGTAAGCGTCTTTTAAAGGGCTGGCATGCCCAGCATGACCTCTATTGCGCAGCAGCAGAACGAAGGATTTGCAGCAAAGCATGTGTGTACTGGTCCCAACGGGTTGGCAAGGTGACCGTGACCCGAGTGCTTCGTCTAGGGCCCTTCAGAGGTTTCGCCCGTCTCCCACAAGCTTGCTGCCCAGGAAGGATGTCGACTCCCAAGGTTGAGCACTCGCGACACCTCACATTGAGAGGACTCTCGAGATAGAACTCACTTCCTCACGGTAAGAAGTAATGAAGAGGGTAGATAAGGAAGAGAGCAATGTACCTCATAATGCTGCCCCCAACCACACCTGACGTGCATTTATGATGACCGGTGTTTGCCTTGGACAACAAACAGCGAAATGCAGTTCCACCTCGGCATAAATGCCACATCAGCGAGCTCTCATCATCCAGCTTACATCCCAATGTTACCACATAGCCTTCCCGGCGCGCCCACACGACCCTAGGCCACCTATCGTCCAACGTCCAAGCCTTATCACTGGCCCACACCTTATGCGAAGCACCGAATAGCTATTGCGAAGAACCAGTAAAGCGCAGTTCGAACCAGCTCCTATACCAAATTGCAAGGAAAATGAGCAATGGCGAGATGACAGAATCCATACTACACCATCACATTGAAAGCCAGAAAGTCGCACATTGACCAGAAAGCAGTACTGCACCAATGTTACACCAATGGAGAAACCAAACACTGAAATCAAATGTCAATGAGAGCTCACTCGCGTCATCACTAACATAAGAGTCCTGGCCCTTCCCCCTACTTGGCGCTCGGCGCCCAGACTAGTCCCCACACAGCTCCTATCTGCCTATGAATTGACAATGCAACTGTTGACGTCAGCAGCCACCGAAGTACATGAAGATGTCGCCCAATGCAAACCATCGCCGATACCAGGTACGAACGCTCACATCCTCCTCCTCCTCCTCCTCTCTCTCTCTCTCTCTCTCTCTCTCTCTCTCTCTCTCTCTCTCTCTCTCTCTCTCTCTCTCTCTCTCTCTCACTCACTCTCTCTCTCTCTCTCTCTCTCTTGTCTGTCCACCTTGTCTTCCCTTTGTACACCCGAAGACCACCCCTGCACCTTGCTGTATTTGAAGCCCAACCAGCTATGGAAGCTGGGCTATGGGGCTGCCCTCAGCAGCGCGCTTGTTGGCCCCAGGTAGCTGGGCCTCCGCTGTTGTTGCTGGGCCTCGTTCATTTAAGCCTCCCAACTGTCTGTGTATGTTGCTGCGAATGTGGCCCAGGGCCTGCATTTAAGGAAAGGCCTGGAAGGCCGTGGAAGATCTTTGCTGCTCAGGTCCTGGGTTCCTTCAACCAACTAACGCGAAACAACTGCCTGAAACCCCAAATACGAAATTGACAGCATTGGGCCTTTCGCGATCTGTTAGGCCTGCCTTCACTTAGTGCGGGCACACTTGCATTATGGGGCCCCTTAGGCCTTCCGAGGAGCCTTATCCTCGCATCTGCTTGACTCATTAGCTTGATGATCACTTGTATCTGAGTGCGGTCCCAACTCTCTAAATGAGATCAATCGGCTTTAGAATGGATGAAGAGCAAGATAAAATTAGCTAATAGTGAACAAATCATTGGAGAGGGTATCGTAGGTACAAATAATCAGGTTCTATCAGCCAACGACACGTGGACGGATCACTCTGTTTCGTCACCCTTCGGTGAGTCACTCAAGAAGAATGAAAAACATCATTGCAGTGGGTGTTAATTAGTCGCCCTCCATGTGGAGTTTTGCAAGCAGATAAACAATTCTCCTCGAGATGGTTTTCTGTTTTCCCATCAAACTATGAAGACAAGCAAGAAAGCAAAGATTCCCTTCCAACTGAGCGTCCATGCTACGGCGTCAGCGAGAGAGGGCTAACGAGCGTCTCCATGCAAGGCCATCAGAATGGATTATTCTCAGGACAAGGAGTCAACCTTGTCGGTATTCTGCTTCAATCGTGTCTCAACCAAGCCACGACGAAAAGTTATTGTCAAGTTGTCAACACAGAACCATACACAGTGACGCCACCAGGGCGTATCAGGTAAGCAGCCCTCTTCCCTCCATATAACTACTAGTTACCTGAGTACGGATCCGGGCCGCCCGGCGGACCGGCACCTGCCCGGGGGAGGCCCCGGGCGGCCTGGCCGGGCGGGCGGCCCGGTTGGGGGCCGGGCACCCCCAGCACACCTCGTCGGGGGGGGGGGGGTTCAGACCCCGAATCGCCGTGGGCTGTGTCCCCAGGGCCTACCGGGTCCGACCTGGCCTGAAAAAAGGCGCATCGGGCCCGTGAGGCCAGCTTTCTTTTTTTTGAAATTGTGACGGCCCTCCAGCCGTCGATCATCCATGATCGACGGCCAGAGGGCCGTTTGATGTTTGGAGGGAAAACGAAGCCCGTTTGAACAGCCGACTGGCTGCGGCGGCCTGCGTCGGCTGTCCAAACGGGGCCTTCGTCTTCCCCCGCCGGCGCAGTTCGTCGTTCAGCCGCCCGTCCTCGTGGAGCCGCCCCTTGTCTCCCCCGTCGTCGTGGAGCCCCCCATTGCCATCGCCCGGGAGCTTCACTCCCCAGTCGCCGTGGAGCCGCCCGTCGCTGCAGCCCGCGTCTTGGAGTCGCCCGCGCCGTGGAGCCGCCCGTCATCATCATCATCATCTTTTTCTTCTTCTTCTTCTTCTTCTTCTTCTTTTCTTCTTCTTCTTCTTCTTCCTCTCTCCTCCTCCTCCTCCTCTTCCGACTATCGTCGTTTTCTTTTTTTTTTTGTTCCATTCGTCAGCGATAGGTCGCGAGATAAACCACAGGTAAGAAAAAAAAAAGAAAACTGCTCCCTTCTTCTTCTTCTTCTGCTTCTTCTTCTTCTCTCCTCCTCCTCCTCTTCCGACTATCTTTTTTTTTTTTTTTTT